TAGTTTTTCTTATACCCTCTGGGTCCTGGGAACCAAACCCAGATTATCTTGGTAGCATGTGCTTTTTCCTGCTGACCCACGGTGGCAGGGGTGTCAAGTGACCGTTCATTTTGTCCACAATCAGGGAATAGCACATTATGACTGCTCCTGCTCATCTGGCCTTTTTATTCAGTCAGTACCCAGGGCCCAAGAAACCGAAGTAGGCCATCCTACCTTCATTGGCCCAATCTTGAAACTCCCTCACAGACATGCCCAGAGATTTATCTCCTGGATGATTCTAAATTCTATCAAATAGACTATCAGTGTTAACTATTACACACTGTTTCAACAATAAAGGCTAAGGGATGGAATTCCAGAATCCATCATTTTTGGGACAGTTATTTTGTACCATTATCAGAGCACAGGTGGGCTACACTAGTCACACCATTCCTTGTGGGGCTCCACCTTCTGACATTTCATTTACGCAGAATTTTAAAAATTGAGGGCTCTGACCACAGCTAGTTACATCATAGTATTTTCCAGAGTAAGTTAACTAGGAACATCTTATGATTCTTAGATGTTTATGATTAGACATGTTTTCCAATAATGATTCATAGTACCTTTCTTGTGGCAAGGTAAGAATCTCTACTTTAATAAAAACAGGAGAGTTCAGGCTGTAACACTTCAGAGTAATGACAGTGCTGTATTTTCCGTTGGACCCTGGGACTTGCCCAAACTTGAAGTTTACAACATGCTATTAACACATCTTTTTTGAGGTTTGGGCACAAAAGCCCTTTATGGCTTAGCCACTACAGAAATAAACTTTAGTACTTGTGCTGGTAATTTTTGTCATCTGGGAAGAGGGAGCCTCAGTTGAGAAAATGCCTCCATTAGATTGGTGTGTGAACAAGTCTGTGTGTGTGTGTGGGGGGGGCATTTCCTTGATTAATGATTGAGATGGAACACTCAGCTCACTGTGGGCAGTGTCACTCCTGTGCAAGGGACCTAGGTTCTATGAGCAAGCAAACCAAGGAAGTCAGTAAACAGTGTTCCTTCAGTCTCTGTTTCAGTTCCTGCCTCCAGGTTTCTGCCTTGTCTTCCCCATGAGATGAAAGCCAACCCTTTCCTCCACAGGTTGCTTCTGGTCAGTATTTTATCACAGCAATAGAAAGTAGGACAGTGTTGCAAGTGACCTGCATCATTTTTGGGTATATAAACTAGATCCCAAAGGTCAGTCCCAAATCGTATGCTTTACTCCCCGCCCAAGATTAATGTTCATCGTCATCTTAATATTTAGGAAGGGGAAAAAAAAAACCCAAAAGCTTGGTCATTATAAACTTGAACTTTGCAGGCAATCAGACCCGGATTTAACTATAAGTTACGAAAGGCAGCTGTTTCCCAGTCTTGAGGCTTCAACCCAGGGCAAGCATTTTATTACAGTTATGAACTCAGCCCAAAAGTTACTTAATGTAACCCTGAACATCAGTTTGCACAGCTCTATGGAAATAGTGGGCTTTCAGGATTCTCAAGATTACGAGTTAAAACATGTGAATCATTTAGTGTGTTGCCAGTACTTTCCAAACATTGCTACTATTTCTATTTCTTTTGGAAAATGATTTCTCTAAAATATAAGTTCAAGTTTGAATAATTTGAATAGTTTTTATGTAATTAAAATTCTTATTTAAAATATAAGAAATAAAATCCGATTTATTTTAAACTTTGTGTATGAATGTTATGCCTGTATGTACATATATGGTAACCCTGGAAGCCAGAGGAAGGCATCAGATTCCCTAGAACTGGAATTATAGATGTTTGGGAACCACCATGTGGGTGTTGGGACTAGAACTTAGGACAAGTACTCTTATCTCTCCAGCTCCTGCTGGCTTATTTTAAAAAATAAAAATATCTTGAGTCAACTTAGATCCAATTATAAATAAACAGAAAACAATAGAATCCCTGGCAGCCCGCTAAACTAGTTACCCTAACCCAAACTCAGCTAGTCTACCTATCCCCTAAAAATTTAGAATAGAAAATTACTAACAGCCAAGATTGCCTGCCCCTTCCACACAGGAAAGCAAACAGGAAAAAAAAAAAAAAAAAAAAAAAAAAAAAAAAAAAAAAAACGTGGACTGGGCAGAAGTGGTGTATGCCTTTAATTCCAGCACTTGGGAGGCAGAGGCAGTGGATCTATGTGAGTTCCAGGACAGCCTGGTGGTGTACAGAGTGAGTTCCAGGACAGGCTCCAAAGCTACACAGAGAAACCCTGTCTCAAAAAACAAAACCCAAGCAAACAAAAATTTGGATAGCTTTGCCGTCTGTCAACCTAAATAGCTGGGAAAGTTTTTTGTTTTTTTGATCTAAGAGACAAGATGGACTTTACAAGAGACTGTATGAGTTAGATAATCAGGTTAAATCCTCTGTATCTCACTCAATTTCTCATTAGCAAAATCAGCCTCCCATGCTACTTAAAACGTTACAAAATTTCTTACAGTTTTTAGAACAGCTCATAAATAACTGATCCTGGCTTTCCGAGTGTTTGATAATTCACTGCTTTAAAATAGCATACTTTGGTCCTGAGTTCAATTCCAAGCAACGACATGGTGGCTCACAACCATCCGTAATGAGATCTGGTGCCCTCTTCTGGCTTGCAGGCATACGTGGAGGCAGAATGTTGTATATATAATAAATAATATCTTTAAAAAAAATTAAAATAGCGTACTTCTGTTTAAATGTAAAAGTGATAGAGTTAGTTAATATGTGAAACTTGGGTTCTCCTCTAGTTAGTAATGCCTCAAGGTTTAACTCAGCTCAATTGAACTTACTTAAGGAAGGCAGCTTCCCAGCAAACCTAGTCTGGGTTAAATTACTGCTGCAGAGCAGATGACACGGATGAATAAAGGGCTGAATCACACATGATGCACAACAAGAGGGCACACTTGCTCAGAGTTACATCTAAATCAGGGAGCAAAGTAATGATAGACTCCATACAGTCCGTACTGTTTTTAGTTTTTTGTTTGTCTTTTGAAACATGGTTTCTCTGTGGCCTTGGAGGCTGTCCTGGAACTAGCTCTTGTAGACCAGGCTGGTCTCAAACTCAAGAGATCCACCTGCCTCTGCCTCCCGAGTGCTGGGATTAAAGGTGTGCACCACCACTGCGTGGCTCAGTCCATGCTGTTATTTTTTTTAATTGTAAAATTAATGGCCATTTGTTTTGAAGAAAATGTTCCTAAACAGCTTTACATGGTGTCCTCTTGGTTTGGATTTAAAATTTCAATTTATCACTGTGAGTAAAGTTGGGTGTATTAATGATTCTATCAATGCATTTTGGGCACTATAATTACAAGTATAAGAGCATACATTAAAAATTCTCTTAACATTATATGGTAACTACTCAGATTACATGGTAAAAGGTAGCAATTAAAAAGTGAGTCTTGGCACTTATCTAAATTATTTGTTGTGTTTTGTTTTGAAGTAGGATTTCTCTATGTAGCAGCTCTGGCTCTCCTAGAACTTGCTTTGTAGGCTAGGCTGGCCTCTGACTCACAGAGATCCATCTGGCTCTGCCTCCTGAGTGCTGAGATTACAGGTATATGCTACCAAATTCTTAGCAATCATTATTTACTTGAATCTCATAATCTTAAGTACTAATAGATTCTACCAATATAGAAAGGTCACATGCTCAAAGCTATCAAAGCTGGGACACAAAACTAGGTTGTCTGATCCCAGAGTTAAAAATGTCATATACACCTCACTAACATGAAAGAAACACCAATATTACCCATCAAATTGACATGTGTGTTTATTGCACAAATTTTCCCTAGAACTGGGAGGTTATTATAATACAGGTGTACACTTGAGAAATGTATTCAGAACAAACAAGTATGTACATTTTATATATTCATCTAAATAACTTAAGAGAAAGCAGAACATTCTCATAAGACAGCTACCAGACAAAGGCATTATGCAAATTGTTTTAGTGATCATCTGCATTGTGTGCCAATTACAACAAAATGAAATCTGTATTATGTTTATTGCACTTAATATTTTCAAAGTCAAGGTTAAGACATATTAAGAAATGCCAGATATTTAAAATCAAATCAATTAGTTTACATATATGGAAAATTAGTTTTAATCCTACAATATAAAAGATCCCTTTTTAATTTCCCATTACAATGAACATGTTGTTTTTAATATGTAGCAAGTATTTGTCTGTACCGTTAAGCAGTTGAAAAAATTATTTTAAACAGGCCAAAACTCTTCACATTTATCACAGCCACACTGTAAAGTAGCAGCAGCTCATTCCTTGGGCTTTGATTAAATAAAGAGTATGATGATAAAGGTATTACAAACTCAGAAATTCTATAAGGATTAGTGAGTCTTTAAGAAACTATAGCCTTTCCTTTCCAGCAAAGCTGAGCAAGCCATTCACTTATTAAACACTAGAATTACTAAGTGGTAATGAGAGATTTCAAATAGAACTATGAAAAGTTCCATGATTAAGAAAAGATCGAAAAACATTATCTACCTGCTACATATTCTTCTGAGCCAAAATCAAAAAATAATGTACAATGGCCCATAGAGGAACTTTTTCAGCTTCTAAATTCTGGCAGAAATCTATTCTGAATTTTAACAGAACACAACAGAGCAACCCCACTAACAAATGGGATACACGGACACCAAAGAAAGCACATCTATAAACACTCTTTGGCATCAAGTCATCTATGGGAGACCCAGGTACTAGCTGAAACCAGCTGACAGGGCAAGGGCCAATTGCAGGCACCCTAATTTTGGGTTTATGTTCCATTAAAACATTCAACTTATTTTTTTCTAGTTGGAATTCTCTTGAACACACATAAAGAGCAAGGTAAAATGTAACCAAACACTATTAAATTCAGAAAATTTTCACAAATTACTGAAAATTTTAAATAGCAAGAATGGACATGTTACAGTAAATATATGCAGTAACTGAACAATCGAGCAGGGCTCTTTTTGTGTTTTTTAACTAAACAATTTAGAATTAGTCAATGAAAACAGAAACCAACTTTAATTCTAGCATTACATGTATCTTAGCCCACACAGGCAAAGAGTAAGCTATAATTCAGTATTCAAGTAAACTGAGGTAGAAGAGTATATTGAAAACATTATCTACCCACCTTTTTATTTACATTACTTACAAGAGTTTGGTTCCTTATTAGCCTTTCTTACAAGCAACAATCTACACTATATACAAAAATGACAACAAATGCTAAGTGGAAAGCTTGGGAAAAAAATCAACATTTTAAAACAAGGAACACTTAGAGAAAATATATTTTTTTAAGATATTACTTCTACTAGTGTAAATTGAAGATCATTAGCAAGTATTCTGCTCATATGGGTTCAATGGTGGATACTGAAATCAAAGTGTGTGGCCACCTGAGCACATTTTAAAAATATAGTATTATTTTTGCAGTTGCTTTGGTGTACTTTTTGAATCTTAGTTTTATTATTAAATTAATATGTAAATATCAATAAGAATTAGCTCATTCTTATAAAACAAATGGTATAAAGACGTATTCTTAGGGAATCTACAACATTTAGCCTCAAAAAGATTGGCTTTAAATACATTTCAGAGTATGTGAAACAGAAAAATCATCAGAAGGTAGTATTTCAACATTACATACAATACTAGATGAAAAAATATTTTTAAAAATGTTTATCAATATTGTATTTCTACCCCTGCATTTTTTAAAAAATAGATACATATATACAATTGGATGGGCAACATGACATCTTCACTCATTATGAGTTTCTCATAATTAACAGGTTGTTTAAAATACTTAAATAACTAGAAATCAGTTGATCTGAATTGCAAAACAACACATAAATGAAGGTCTTGTAGATTTCTGTACCATAGAAATAAAAGTTAAAAATTAGTGAAATGAAGATTTCTGCCATTTGATCATGAGACATCTATTGCTATTCATGAGTTGTGACATTTTAGAGTTTGCATGAAATTCCTGGGTAGTCACAGAAATTTCTAAGTTGCACTTTGGCTTTTGCAAATGCTGCTTGCCCTATCCTGCCACCCCAATTATTTATGTTGCTTTAGTTTCACTTGGTGGAAAAATCTACCGATACCCAGATGTCCAGTTAAAAATAAAAAGTCATCCAACCTATGCAGACTGTGACGCAACACAGCATGCTAGAGATGACACAGTCACACAAAAGCCTAACAGAGAAAACTAACACACAAAACAGCAACAACTCCATAGATACACACTGTGCCTACTTCCTTGGTTTCTATTCAACTTTAAACCAAAGTTAACCTCTAGGCATGTTAAAGGAGTATCTGAGCAACATATGGAGAATGGGTGCTTGCTACAGCAGCCAGAAGAGGAAGGTCACTGGATTCGATCCTGAAATAAAGAAAAGAAAACTCAGTTCAGGCTTACTGTATCCAAAATATGAACCTTACAGGCAAGGATCGCTCCTACATTACCAATGCATCTCAGCACTTAAAGGTTTACCCTGGCCAAAAGGAAAAGGGTAAAGAGATAAAGATAACAATACTTAGAAACTTTCACTAAGAGTAGACCACAGATTCAAAGGAAAAGAAGCTTCCAAATGAAAAGGAAACCAAGGCACAGACACAAGAAAACACCACAGTTGACCTGCCAATCATCTAGGAACAGATGGGCAAGAAATATAATTCACTAGTAATAAAAGTAATTCTATAATACATGCTATAAGCAGTGGAAATGTCTCTAAAAAACATACCACAAATTATTCAAAGCATGGTGGCACACATCTGTAACCCTGAGGTAAGGAGACTGAGGGAAGAGAATCACAAGTTTGAGGTCAAAGTAAGCTACAAAGTAAAGCCCTGTCTCAAAATAAGAAAAAAATGAAAAACTCAAATAATTTTTAGAAAAAGAAAAATGGTCAATATATTTAGAAAAGTTAGAATTAACTTGTTTAAGGAATTAGAAGAGAAAAATCATATGCCAGCTCAGAAGCAACAATCGGAAAGTCTGCTACTAATCTGGATAATAGATGATGGCTTCTTGTGCTTATGGGAATTCACAGTGTACTTTCCAGACAGCATTTAGTGTTTCCAAAATTATGTGTATAATTTTGTGTATAATGTGCATTTCTTTTAATCAAACAATTTACTCCCAGGAATAGAATTTATTCTACACCAATAAAAAATTAGTTTCATTTCAGCATTGGTTTACAACAGCAAAAATTTGTAAACCATAAATCATACAATAGAATACTATACAACCATTAAAAATGAGATGTATCAGTATACATCCATATAAAGAAATATTCAGACTACATTCGCTGCATGCTGCATATTGACAGAGTACAAACCAATTTCTATTTTTATGCATTTTAAAATTCAGCAACAATAAACTGTCAATAGTGTTAATATTAGGGTTGAAGTTGAAAAGATGATGGTAACTTACTTTCCATTTTACACCAAATACACTATGAACTTGGGTTACATGTACATTATTTTAAAATTTATTTTTAAGGTATTAATACAGGTATCACAGTGTCTGTCTGTCTCTCCCCTCTCTCTCCCACTTCCCAAGAAAATAAGATTATATTGTTTCTGACTTTCCAAATACTGGGGAACCATTTTCTAATTGGAACTTGAACAACCTTTAGTATAGAATTGTATTGAACAGTATTAAAGTTAGAAATATCTGGAGTCATTCAAACTCCTGTTCAGTCCTAATATATGACAAAGGGCATGTTTATTTACAGAATTGGTTATTTCCAATTTGGATATTGTCTACACACTACAGATTGTCTAAAACAATTGGGCAAGGGGGATGATATATAACTCTGGTAGAGTATATACTTATTGTATATAAGGCTGTAGGATGAATTCCCAGAATGACTGACAAAAAAAAGTTTAGGCTTTTACAGGATTCTAAATGATTAACGCTGATCCCTTTTCTTTTCACAGAAATTGAATTTCGGGAAAAAAACTTTAATTCCTTTAACTAGAATTTTACATGCACACACTCACAGAACACAGAAAAGCTGACAGCACATAATGGAATAAGACTACATTATGCTTAGAAACCAACTTCCTTTTTCTCCTTAGTTAGCATTTCAGATAGCTGTTATTTTCCAGGGAGTAACCATAGAGTAGGTCAATATACTATAAAGATGGTGGTGAGGAACTACTAGTAACCTGTAGAAAAAAGCAACCACAAACCAAGCATCTTTATTTCCATCAACTCATTTGAAAGGCAGGGCAGATGCTTACAATAATGTATCTAAAACAAATTTAATAAGTAAAACATGAACACTTTTTTTAGGATTAAAAATTTAAGTTTAATTCCCTCTGCCTATATTCTTGACAAGCTACAGGAATACTGCAAGGGTCAGTGCACCTATATTAAGGGTGACAGAAATCTGTTTTTTGTTTGTTTCTGGTTTTCTCTGTGTAGCTTTGGAGCCTGGCCTTGAACTTGCTCTATAGACCAGGCTGGCCTCGAACTCACACAGATCCTCCTGCCTTTGCCTCCCTAGTGCTGGGATTAAAAGCGTGCACCACCACAGCCTGGCTTGAAATCTGCTCTTCTAAGATAAAAAGAAACGTAAACACTAGTAGGGCACAGCTTCTTGTAGGAAAAGGCACATAAAAACAAACAACAAATCAGAGGAACATGACAAGGGACACAACAAAGCCAGAAAAGAAACCATGAACATACATACCCAAGAACTACTCCTAGCTCCTTGACATGAACACGCATCTGTCCCCTCAGGTACTCAGACAGCATTTTGCTCTTGAAGTATAATTCCTGCAACCGGTCTTCAAGGTGCATTACACACTGTGGTTAGGGAAGAACCAAACTCTGTTAGAAAACAAATTCTAGCAGTCCATCGCTTCAACCACTCGGCCACCTAGTCAGCAAACAAATTCTAATTCTTTTGAGTAATGTCAAATTCCTTTCCTTATAGGAGACAGGGCATGAGGGATAACAACAGAATTTTGTAATGTATCTGAGGCTTGCTTTGAACTCCCTACATAATTCAGGATGGCCTTAAATTCTTGGGTGCTGTATTAGAGCACCACACCCAGCTAGCAAACTTCAGAGCATCAAGTTTTGCACAATTCCATTTGGTCATTCCAACATGAATTATGTTCAGAAGAAATTAGGTATGCAGTTTTAGACAAAAAGGAGCATAAACCTGTTTCTGGTTAATATCAAAGATTAACTCCAAACACATTGTTCTTTTTAAACTGCAATAAAATTTACCATCTTAACCATTTTAGATGTACAGTTCACCAGCATTTCAGTTGTTGTACAGTGATCATCAATACTCATTTACAAGACTTTAAAAACATTTTAATTTCAAATCTGATAAATGCATACATACTCATATTTCAAATATATATATATATATGTGAGTATATACCATATTCTCTGAGTTAAAAACAGTTTACAACAGTTCAAAGAAGGAACAATAGAACTTGCTGAATGAGGTTTATAACCTAAACAGTAAAACTTAAAAATACCTACATTTGTATTGCAATTAATTTATACATGTTTCCTAAAAGAGATGATTTTTTCATATAATTGATATTATATGTTTGAAAGGAAAAATGTAAATATCAACTAATAAACACTAAAGTTCTTTCTAATGAAAATGATCTGCTAAAAGTGTCTGATAACAACTTGTTTTATAAGGAGCCAGTGGTAATTAATGACTTTAATCCCAGCACTCAGGAGGCAGAGGCAGGTAGACATCCAAATTGGAGGTCAGCCTGGTCTACAGAGCAAGTTCAAGTTCTAGGACAGCCAGCACTACATGGAAAAACCTTGTCTTGGAAAAACCAAACCAAACCAAAACAAAACCCCAAAACCCAAAACTTGTTTTATTACTGGAAAACACAACTGAATTGATGCAGTGGTTTAATGATTGTGTTGTGGTTATGTATCTCATTCATAATTCTTATTTAGACTAAAACTGCCTTAAGAAAATGTCAGCTGAAGAATATGTATATGTAAAAACAGACAACACAATTTACCTCATTAACTATTATTAAGGTCTGTGTAATAGCTCTGGTTGTCCAGGAACATGCTTTGTAGACTAGGCTGGCCTCAAACTCAAAGAAATCTGCCTGCCTCCCCCAGGTGCTAGGATTAAATTCATGCATGCAACACCAACACCCAGGCTTTTATGGTTTTTGTTTGTTTGTTTGTTTTTCTTCGAGACAGGGTTTCTCTGTGGCTTTGGAGGCTGTCCTGGAACTAGCTCTTGTAGACCAGGCTGGTCTCGAACTCACAGAGATCCGCCTGCCTCTGCCTCCCAAGTGCTAGGATTAAAGGTGTTTGCCACCACCGCCTGGCTAGGCTTTTATGTTTTTTATTTGGAAATGGGGTCTAATGTATACCAGGGTGGTCACAAACTTGCTATAAAGTCCAGGCTGACCTTGAACTTTTGACTCTCCTGTCTCTGCCAGCTAAATGCTGACATTACAGGTACCACCACTCTTGGTTTAAGAGGTGCAGGGGATCAATCCCAGGGCTTTGTGCATGGGAAACAAGCACTCTATCTAGGGTATATTCCCTGCCCCATTACAGAACATTCTAAAATGCACAGTTGAATGACATTAAGAATATCTACAATGTACAACTATAACCACCATCCACTTGAGAATTTTTTTTATCACAAACTCTTTACCCAATAATAACTTCTCCTTTCCTCTTTCCTCCCACTTTCTAATAACTACTACTTTAGAGATAAACTATTAAATTTACAAACTTCTGTGACATAAAATAAGAATGACAAAGTGATTCCGTAAACATAACACCAAAACACAGGCAACAAAAGTTTTAGTTCTTAAATATTATAGGTCTTTCATCCAAGTTGATCTCATTTTTTTTTTACTGCATGAGAAAATATAATAAAACATATTCAAAATTCTAATACCAATGCATCACCTATAACCAAGGGCTAACTTACTCTGCCAAAAAATCTGAATATGTTTTCTCAATATACACTCTGAATAAAACATCAAGTAGTTAAAAACATATATACACAGTTTTCTTCCACTAGGTGGAATTTTAGACAAACAAATCAATTACCAATCTAACCTCCACTCAACTACTTCATAGAAAACTAACTCTACTTCATGTTTCTTTTTTTTTTGTTTGTTTGGTTGGTTTTTTATCTCATTTTTAAATATGGCATAAAATAAGGATTCAAGAACATTTTTTAATGTGCTTTTTGTTGTTAACACTTTTCCTTGTTAAATGTGGTCTTGGCCCTATTACTGAAACTAATCCTATATGAGAAGGTTTAATTCTGGGTTCTTCAATCTATAATGAATGAAGAATGAATCTGTCTATATTCTGGTCTTCATGCTATTACCACCATGTTTCTATTGTAGCAGCACTCTAATTTTTGAAATTAGGAAGTCTGATATCTCTAATTTTGCTGTTGTTTTTTATTTTGTTGGTTTTTTAAAATAGGGCCTCCCACAATGTAGCTCAGATCTGGGAATTACAGGAATGTACTACCGTGCCTGGCTACTTTCCTATCAAAACTACTTTGGCTCTTTGGGCTCCCCTGATGATCTATAATATGACTGGATTAGGAAGGGCTTTTTATTCTTTGTAATAATTTTTGTTGACTTTCTTTTTATTTTATTATATAGCTGTTACTTGCATGTATGTGTGCGCACCATGTGCATGCAGTACCCACAGAGGCCATCAGATTCCTTGGGGCTGGAGTATAGGTGACTATAAGCCATCATGTGGTGACTTAGAGTTGAGCCCAGGTCCACTGGAAGACAAGCCACGGCTCTTAATGGCTAAGCCATCTCTCCAGCCCCAGGTTTTCTATTCTTGAAAAATCTTTCATTAGGATTTTGGTATTGATACTATTCAATTTGTATGTCAGTTTGAGAAGTAATGACAATATTAAGTCAGTTGGTTCCAGACAAACACAGGAACAGAGAGGTCAGCTCAGCTCTTCTTCCTCTGGCAGGAATAAGCCTGAGTTGTGCAGTGAGGCAGGTCATTTGTTTCCTATGAGGGGACAGTAGTGGGACATCTGTCTATTGATGTTTAGAGTGATGATTTATTTAAACAGAAGCAAA